TAAAAAGAGGAAAAAAACCCCCCAACCAAAATCCAAAGCAACTGCACTCGTCCATTTCGGCATCACAAAAACTGAACACACACTTTCTCTCTTTCGCCGTCATTGTTCTCGCCTTCTCCGTTGTCTCTCCCCCCACAATTCCTCTCTTCCACCGATTCAAGCTATTTCTCTCGATATCTCTGGGATCAGTGGTCCGGGGAAAATTCACTCGACTCCTCCAGATATGGGAGATTGGCATTATTTTCTTCTTTTTGTATTGACAACTACTTTTCTCTTCTTTCGCTCTCCTCCTTTCGCCCTTTTCTTCTTTTCTGTCTCCTTTCTCTTCTTCTTGATGCACTGCAACCGTCATACTGGCGAGGTCCCGTTGCGCTGTTGAGTTAAGGCGGATATGACTTAATGAATCAAAACGTCTTGCCTCTCTCTCTCTCTCCTTTTGTTTCCCTTCAGTTTCTGGTTTCTGTCACTCACGGGTTCAGGTCTGACCTGGCTGCTGCGATCTAATTTAGTAAGCACGTTGATTTTGCCGTCCTGTAGAATTATACACAGACTGTGAAAGATCTGGCAAGATTTTGAAATATTGGCGTGAAGATGGGTTTGTAAGGATGAGGTTTGGCAAGTGATTTAACGAGGTATGAGAAGCGCAACTACCACATGGTCCCTGCATATCCAACTCTCTTTCTGCGTTGGATTTCTTGGTTCCATGGACATCGAGGATTTGCTGTGCCTGTTGTTGCTCGACCTGTTGATGATCATAGCACTGCCTTCGATTCCCCCGAAAAGGGGCCTGAAGTAGCAAGAATGAGAGACAACAGATGGACAAAGCAGATTACTGAATGGTACCTTTGCGATTTTAAAAGAATGCCGGAAAGGGACTCAATGCAACAGAAAGATCCATACGAACGACCAAGACGGATGAGACATGTAAAATATACAGAAGAATGGGGAAGTTACCAGGAAAATCCCTACCAGAATGACGAGAAAACGGGTGATGCAGGTACCAAAGTAGGCACAGCTGACATCTTTGTTTCTATGAGGCCCCCTCCTCTCCTTGTTTTGTATCGCAGTTCTTCAACGATTTCCTCTCCTAGGAAAGAAGTTGTTTCTTCTGCGCGAACTTCTCTACGTGATATGTGTCTCTTTGCACCTTCTTTTAGCGTATTTAGCGATGCAACTCTGTCATCAGCCGTTCTTTCATCGTTTTGTGATTGACGTTGAAGCTGACAACTTCAGCAGCAGTTTCTATTTTGGGCTTCTCTCATCCGCATAATTCCGTTTTTGCCACAGTTCTTCCACAGCAGCATTCGCACTGTCGGCCTTCCCTGTGTTCTTTTAACATAACCTCGTCTCCACTTTGCGGTCTCCTTCGTTGTTTCAGTGTCTTTCATCCTTGTTTTTTGCACCAATCGAGCTTTTCCTGCTACTGGCCCATATTGTTCTCTTTGACACACTGTTTACGCCTGTTTTGTTTTGCACAGACCGAAACATTTCTTTCCGATTTACTAAGTGATTTTCTAAGATTGCAACTCTGTCGGCAGTTTTTATGTATTTTGGCATATATGCAAATTGCAAAAACGCATATTGTGAGGACCCATGATATGCGTGTGTGTCTGTATGTTTATGTGTGTGCGTGTGCGTGTTTGTGTCTCTGTCTGTCTGCCTGCCTGCCTGCCTGCCCTCGTATTTCAATTCGGCATCCAAGCAAGCTTTAGTGCTGAAATTTTGCCAGTGGGTTCCCCGGCCAAGTGCTACCCAGGACCGCGTTAGCAACCTTCTTGCAAGTCTGTGCCGCACACATGAGCACGTGAAAGTTTTGGCGGAAAAATCGCTAACAACGGAACTAGAAAAGTTGAAAAGCTGAAATTTTAACGGAATGTTCCCTGTTTGCACACCACGTAGTGACACAATTAACTTCTTGAACTTCGAGAACCAGTAGGTCACAAACTGTAGCTGTTGGGATTCCAAGCGGTCTTACTACTACAGCACGAAATACTGCAAAAACGCATAATTGCACGGGACCCGCCTGGCGCGCATCGGCAATAATTTGTTTATTTCGTAACTCATTTTCATTCTTTCAATTTTAATTTAAAATCTAATTACAGATGTGAGGGGCAATTTTTGGATTGTGCATTGCGGGTAATTGACCAAATATGCAATTTTTATTTGATTGGCTCAAACTGAACAGGAAGAAGCCCGATGTCTTCCGCACTGTAAGTTTCAAAAGTTTCATTCGTGAAACGCGTGATCCCCTGCTCAAATCGTATTGCTCGTTTTATCTCGCTGCGTTATAATTTTGTTCCTTTTTACGTACTGCTTGTTTTGTATCATCACGTTAAAATCGTGTTTGCTGCCTGAGGTTTGAAGCTTTGGGTGCTATTATTAGTATCGCGCAGTTTCGACAGATTACTTTTTTGAGGGAAATCACTTCCTCGAATAAAAACGACAATTGAAGAAAAAAAAAACAGATGTGAATTAGCGTAAAATTGTATAGTCGCGATACTGCAGTTCAAGAATCCAGGCTGGAATGCATCAGGCTCTCCGGTGCGATCATGCGTTTTTGCACTAACCTCGCAGATCGCTATTAGCCATTCCATTTGTTACTGATGAGATTCACTTTGAAACGCTTTTTTTTTTGAAGTGGGTATTCCTACAGTTTTCATTTCCATCGGAATTTATGGGGGATTTAAGATGGAAACATTTGCATCACTTCGTTTGTCTAAAATTTTTGAAACGGATTAGTTTGTTTCAGCATCATCCCACAGTGTTTACGTTCAGTGTTTTGCCACTATTCCTTGGTACCAGAAATGATTATTATGCATATTACGGCAGGAATGTAAGTTTTTTGCTCATGTAGGGACTAATTAGTTATGCCCGTTTAAGTGAATTCTCACACTTTTTATATGTTTTTTTGCATCTACGCAATGCAAAAATGCATATTGTCCAAGGTTTTTTGTCTGCGGGCGTATATCTGTCTGTGTGTTCGTTTGTACCGATTTTTCATCTCGAGACGCACAAAAGCTACAGGGTTGAAACTTTGGGAACTTGATCTACATGCATGTACGGGCCTCCATCCCTAAAATGGACGCTCTTGCCCTCGTGATTCCCACGTACGGGCCCGTCAAAGTTTTTAGCGGGTAATCTACTAACCTGGGGATAGGGGAAGCTAAAAAGCTGAAATTTTAAGGGGATGCTTCCTGACAGTCCTGGCGGCCAATCTCAATTCTTTTAGCTAAAAGTATCTGTCAGCAAAAAAAGTGCCGTTAGCGGCAAAAACCCGCAGGGAACTATGCAAAAAACGCATCTTCACACTGACAGTCGGTGCGCTCGCCAGTTATTTTGTTGCTCATAGCATGTCCACCGTATGTTCTTTGAGGGGAAATGTGTGTGAATTATTAACTTCTAATAAGAAAATTCTTTTGGGAAAAAATTATTTCGGGATTCGTTTCGTTGAATTGCCGTTGTCGCTCTCCTGGTGATCAAAATCACTATCAGTTTGTTTCTAAGTAACCCTTTAACGATATCGATGCCTTTCCAGTGGTTGGTGTGCCATGCACTGTCTCGGTCGGTTGTCGGCAAATAATTCCACTTACTTAAAACGGAGGGAATTTTGACTTTTGACTGATTTTTCAAGTAAAATGGCTTTTCCGATTTTTTCGCAAACGACTGCTCCTTCACATTGTGCCATAAACCATTGATATCATCTTCTTGCTGTGCTGTGATCCCACAAATATTTTTTAAAGTTGTTAAGTATTCAGATAAATTTGGCGATTTTCAGGCATGTTTTAGCGTCTCATCAGCTACTGCTACATATTTCTTTTCTTCATTTCCTCTGATTGCCCTGTGCTGCTGCGTTTTTCTTGCATTGTACAACGATTTTGACAAAGCTACAGAGTAGGCCATTTTTTACATGTTATCTTCCGTTTTACGGAAACCTTAAAATGAAATCTCACAGCTCACTCTTTTAACGAATGTTTGAATCTCTACATTTGTACTGGTATATTTTTAATGGTGCAGTTTTGGCGGGAAAATTGCTAACTCGGTGACCAGAAAAGCTGGAAAGCTGAAATTTTGGGGGAATGTACCCTGTCCAAGTACAACATAAATGTTTCAAATTCAACCGTATATTTTTTACGGCGCAGTTCTGGCAAAATTATTCAATATTTTTTCAAAAAAAAAAAACAAAAATTTATTCCGCCAATATTTCTACGTTTCGTTCATTCATTTCGAAGGTATACTGTCAATGACGATTGTCACTGACATATCCTGTTTTGGGCAAAAGAAAGGTATATTAACAAGGGATGAAATAAGAAGAAACAAAAAGGAATGTAGGAAATGAGAATTAGAAAATTACTAAAATTGGGCCTTCAGTACCTGTATCAACGAGGGTTGCTTTGGCAGTATCACCACATAGGTAGACAGTGAATATTAATGGATTTTGTTTTTTGTT